CATCTCTAGATCAACAGGAGTCTATGGAGCGTGGTTGAACTCAGCCCATTTCTTCATTGCTGCTTTTCCCCCTCCCTCTTCCACTCACCAGTAGACTAATGTGGTCATCAGCAAGCTTACATGCCTGCTCATGTGTTCCCTTTGAGTTTCATTCTTGGAGGAGGGTTTGTCCTGAAGAGCCTTGATGGCTTCCCAGTGAACAACTTCTTAGTTCTTATAGTAGCCAATCATACTACCATTTTTGTTTTGGGTTTTTCCTGATAGTCTTTCTTGGAAAATGTATCTTCTGTTGCTCTAGCTGTTCCAGGCTGGTCTGCTTGTCCTTTCTAGTGTGAATATCCCAACTCAGAAGGTTCTGGATGGGGCTCAGGATTCCACTTAAGGTCCTATACACTGCAAAGGCTCTGCAAGAGGCCTATTTCACTGGGCAAGTTGTAGAACCCCTTTTAGGTATTCCAATTAGTTATAGGCTGAAGGCGGGCTTACAAGCTTTCTGTAATCATGTTTCCGGACATTCTTTCTATCCCACTCAAGTGTCTATTCTACAATATTAGGCAAGGGAAACCAGTAATCATGATAGTCAAGCATCTTAGCATTATTTCCCCTCCTCAGACTATGCCTCAGTCCCTGTATCACAGAGCCCTGTTGTTCCAAGGCTGATCGTGCATCACTATTTACCTCTGTCCCATTCAGCCCATGCAAACCTGTCTCAGTATTCCCCTATCTACCTTTTTCTTCCACTCCCTCCCCCAGGAAACATTCTTCTTCTTGCACTATGACATTTATCCTGTAATACAGGGAACAGACATCAATCAGTCTGACAGATCAATTATAATTTATTAGATGATAGGATTACTTGTTGACAACTGAACAAATGTTAACAAAGATGAGTTGAAATGTATATAACTAGAATGCACAATGAATCAGGACTATTTTATACTGTCTATTTCTATGTTCCATGTTGAGGAGAAATTCACACATAAAACTCTCTCAACAAAACTCTCAAGTACTTTCCTGAAGGCACTCAAAATTTAACTCTAATTTCTAAATCAGGGATCCACAAACCCTGTTTGACATTTTATCAGAATGCAGCCCCGCTCTTCATTGACATTATAGTCTATGGGTGCTTTTGTCCAATGACGGCAATGTTCGGTCTCTGCAACAGAAACTGTATGACCTGCAGAACTTCAAATACTCATTCTCTGGCCTTTTACAAAAAAAGCTGGCTGACTCCTCTCTAAATATTTTACCTCCAAAATTATTAATTGTTAGTTGATGTCAAGTTGATTCCAACTCACACCAATCTTCATGGTACGAGAAGAGTATTTCCTTTACTTATTGCTGTCCTACAGCATCCTCACAATCATCCCTATGTTTGAGCCCACTGTTGCAGCCACTGTGTGAGTCCACCTAAGTGAGGGTGCTGATGCTCTTTTTCACTGACCCTGTATTTTACCAAGTGTGATGTCCTTCTCCAGGGACTGGTCATTCCTGATGACATGTCCAAAATACATGAAATGATCTCGCCAACCTTACTTCTAAGAAACATTCATCTTCCAAGACAAATTTATTCATTCTTCTAGGAGGTCATGGTATATTCCATATTCTCTTATAATTTAAGTGCATCAATGCTTCTTCAGGCTTTCGCATGTATACGAGGCAACAGAAAATACCATGCTTGGATCAGGCATTTTTCAAAATGGTATCTTTGCTTTTAAGCATTTCAAAAGAAGTTCTTTACAAGTAGAAGTTTTTAACAAAAACAGGGGAGTAGTTCATCTTACAGTCCAGGACCAGAGGACCCTAGGGTCATCAAGGGAGAAAAGCATGAGTGGAATGTGGGACCCAATCCAGAGAAGCAGCGACACCAGAGATGGAGGCAGAGATGGGGACATGATGAGAGGGAGCAGCTAAGGATTCTAAACTCATGGAAAGAGAGGGACTGTGTGCTGGTGGCCAGAAGGCAGGCTTGCAGAATGTGCCCTTTGGTTGTTTAAATTATTGTTGTTGTTTTTTTTTTAGTGTTTTTGTGTACATCTCCCCCCACTTCAAAAAATAAATAAAAAAATAACAGCAACAACAAACAGAGAGAATGGAAGCAAATACTGTTGAATGATGATGTACGGAGGAGATTGTAATCGCTGCAATGAAATGATGGTGTAAAGCCGATGTTCTCCCATGTAAGCTATGACTCGGTTCACAATAAAAACTTTAAAAAAGAGGCCCTTTACAGCAGACCTGCCCAGAGCAACACAGCGTTTGATTTCTTGACTTCTGCTTCCACGGGCACTGAATACACATCAAAGTGAAATGAAATCCTTGAAACTTCAATTTTTTTCTCTGTTTATCATGGTATTACTAAAATTAGTCCTCTTTTTTGCTTTATGATGTACAGCTTCCTGGGAGTGAGTTTTCTGCTCCATCTAAGCATCATTATTATAAAATATTGTTGTTAAGTGCCTTCAAGTCAATTCTGATTCATAGCAACCCTGTAAAGAGTTTTAAAGGCTTTTTAAATCTTTGTGGGAGCAGAAAGCCTCTTCTTTCTTCCGCGGAGCAGCTAGTAGACTACAACTGCTGACCTTGTGGTTTGTGGTCCAGTGTTTAGTCTCTGGAGCCACCACACTCCCCTTATTATATAATGTTGTTGTTGTTAAGTGCCATCGAGTCGGTTCTGACTCATAGCGACCCAGTATAGGGTTTCTGAGGAGCAGCTGAGGGATTTGAACTGCTAACCCACATTTGTGCTGACCCACAGTGCCACAATTACATTCCAAATGATGATCCCAAGACAAAGCAGAAAGCTCACTTCCTAAGGGAGGAAAGCAGAATGATTTAGTCCAGGTAGCCAGAAATTCATGTGACTACAAACCCAATTCTCCAAGCATTTTTACATTATAAGAAGTACATTCAATTTCCCATCGGTCACCAAGATAATTTCTCATGGCAAAAACACATTATGTAACTTCCAGAAAGGATTCATCCATCCTCATAAATATCAATTACTAATGTCCTGGTGCGCCACTGTGGGTTAATGTGCTGGACTGCAAGGTCAGTTTGAACCACAAGGTTGGTGGTTCAAGCTCACCAGTCACTCGGTGGAAACACTATACAGGGTCACTACGAGTCAGCACCAACTCCACAGCACTGAACAACAACAACAGGCTAGAAGTCTTGGTATGGTGCTAGGATAAGCAGTGAACTGTTAACCATAAGGCCAGCAGTTCAAACCTACCAGCTACTCCTTGGAAACCCTATACAGGGTCGCTATGAGTCAGAACTGATTCAAAGGCACTTAACAACAACTCTGGTAGCGTAGTGGTTATGAATCAGGCTGCGAACTGCAAGGTCAGCAATTTGAAACTAACAGCTGCTCTGCGTGAGAAAGATAAGGCTTTCTGCTCCCGTAAAGATTTACAGCCTCCAAAACCCTGTATGAGGTTGCTATGAGTCAGAACTGACTCCACAGCACTTAACAACAACAACAAAGGTTAATTTAAATTAATTGTCTCTGAACAGTAAGTTGGTCCCATCCTGAATAAATCTGCCTCTTCTAAGTATTTGCACTTCTTTAAAAAAAAAAAAAAAGTTTGAAATCGGAATCACCACAAACAGATAATTCAAAACAGATTTTCCTGACACTGTAATCTTCAGGGAATGTCACACTCAATTGCTCTCCTAGACAATGTGAACTGTGAGAGGTCCTTGTAAGGTGACATCAGGAAGTATAAACAAAGCCTTCCGATGACATATTTCATTTTTCATTACTAGTAATATGTCTGCAACAAAAACTGTAACATTCTACTGTGTTTTTCACCCTAGGCAATATGAGGCTAATTGACAGATTCAAAAGCCCTGTTTATGAAATCAAGCTGAAATGGAATCAATCTCAGCATGTAAAAGGATTTTATTTTATGTCTTATGAAAAACATGCACTCTCTTCTCTATTGTCTGCACTATCATCTGGCTGGAGCCCTTGTGGCGCACTGGTTTAAGCACTGGGCTGCTTTAACAACACAATCGGTGGTTCAAACCCACCAGCAGTGCCCATGGAAGAAACATGAGGCCGTCTTCTCCTGTAAACACTTACCGTCTCTAACTACGGAGCAGTTCTACTCTAGTCTACAGGGTCTCTATGAGTTGGAATCGACTCAATGGCAGTGGCTTATCATCTGGTTCAATCAAAGGCATGGATGCACCTTTACAAATTGGTTTGAAAAGAACTGAGGACTGAGTCTTCCTGCCTCTATCCCCAAATATTGTCTTGGATGAATGTTACCAAAACTGCATGCGTCTTAAACTTACGTGACGACTGGAACCGAGCAAGCAGAGAAGACACTGAAATCCAGGGCGCTGCAGTCAGAGTCACAACAGCAGTTGACATCACACTGCGCCGGGGACAAGTCACAGACGCAGAGAGCAGCAACTGCAGAAAGAAGACTGGGCGTGAGGACCCAACAGCATCACAATCAGCAGGTAGTGAACACTCGCTGCCACAATGTACCATAAACAGACCTCACACAAAAGGCCCTTCCAGTTTCCCTACAGACTTTGGGGAAGTTTGTGAAATGAAAATTAGTCAGTTTGAACATCCCTCATTCCGAGGGTTTCCCAAAGTGACAAATCCTTTGACACACTTGGGAAATTCTGATTGTGCTCTACCAACGGATCTGATTCAGTAAGCTGACTGAAATCCAGACATTTATATTATCTAAAACCTGGCTAAGTGGTGCTTATAATTACAACAGGTTTGAGGGAAGCTGAGGCAAGACAGCAGAGTAAACAGATGAAATGACCCGGCCTCTGAAATGACACAGAAGATCATATGAAACATCCACAGAACACTGAGCACCAGAGGACAGGACAGAGAGGTGGACTGATTGCTGACTGGACGAGGAGACTGAACAAGAGCAGTGAGCGAGAAGTAAAAGGGGCGGACTGTGGGCTGCCATGGACTGTGGGCTGGGGTGGACTGTGGGCTGGGGTGGACTGTGGGCTGGCGTGGACTGTGGGCTGGTGTGGACTGTGGGCTGGGGCAAACTGTGGGCTGGGGCGGACTGTGGGCTGGGGCGAACTGTGGGCTGACATGGACTGTGGGCTGGGGCAGACTGTGGGCTGGGGTGGACTGTGGACTGGGGCGAACTGTGGGCTGGCACGGACTGTGGGCTCGCGTGGAGCTCTGCAGCCATCTTGGGCTTTTGTGAGCAGTTAGTGATCCAGGGCTGTGCGTTAACGCGCTGGTCTGCAAAGTCGGTTTGAACCACAAGGCCAGCAGTTCAAGCTGACCAGTCACTCCTCTGAAACGTTATACAGGATCACTATAAGTCAGAACTGACTGGACAGCACCTAACAACAATAATGACATTGATACAGCGGCCTGCAGTCATAGAACACTGCTAGAGATTGGCAGATAGGGGGTACAGTTCTCCCTTGTTCCCATGCCCTCCTGGTAGCTGGGGCCAGTGCCTGCCCTGGCTATCCCAGTGGCCAGAGGCACACGCTGCTGCTCAGCCTCTGCTCTGCCTGGGGTTGGATGCCAGTCATAGGGTCCCTTCTTCTGAAGGCACATGAACCCAACCTGAACTATACGACACACACAGTGAGCAGAGAACCAACTATGTGGTTCACCTTTCTGTCTCTACCTAATCCACAGGAAACAGGTGGTGAGTGCCTGAGAACATACCAATATAAAATTATCAACTAAATATAAACACACCACAATGTCTTGGAGTCCTGGTGTGACACCATAGGATAAGCACTTGAACTCAATGTCAGCTTGAACTGTTAGGTTGGTTGTTCAAACACACCAGCTGCCCCTTGGGAACCCTATAGAGGGTCTCTATGAGTCGGAACTAATTCAGCAGCACTTAAAAACAAAAATATCTCAGAGAAAACAGACAGTTTCAGCTTATACAAAGAAACAAGACAGGGTGCCTCAAACAAGTGACCAAAATACAGAGTCAGAAAACACCAGAAATGGTGTCAGAATTACCTGATAAGGAATTTAAAAGAATGCTATTAAGGTAATTTCAACAGCTTGAAAGAATGATGGAGAAAGCTTCAGATGAAATCAAGGAAAACCGGGATAAATTTTTAGAAGAATTCAGAAAACAAACTGTAAATGAAAAACAGCAATCAGAAAGCCAGAGGAGTAACACGAAGACTTCAGAAGTAGATAATACACTGAAAGGGCAAAGAAGGAAAACTGAAGCAATGGAAGTCCAAATTACTGAGTTGAAGAAAAATCTCTCAACATTTATCTGCTAGAAGAACAAAGAACAAAACAATCTGAAAAGAGCCTAAGACTTATGTGATACACTGTTAAGAAGAAAAACTTACATGTGATAGAAATTCCAGAACAGGAAAAGATTTAAAAAAAAAAAAAAAAAAACCCATAGAAAATATTCTTCAAGATCTGTTGGAAGAAAATTTCCCTTAAATCATAAAAGACTGCCCTTCAAGAAGTTGAACAAATCCAAACAGGATAAACACCAAAGAAATATCACCAAGAAATATTATACACAAACTTCTCAAAACCAAAGACAAGGTGAGAATCCTGAGAGCAGCTCAGGAAAAATGAAAAGTTACCTACAAAAAACTTAATAAGACTAAGCTTTGATTTCTTAGCAGAAACCATGGAGGCAAGAAGACAATGGAATGACATATACAAAATGCCAACCAAGAATTCTATATTCAGCAAAACTGTCCATCAAATTAGGCAGATAAAAGTAGGTCATTTTCACATAAACAGAAATGAGAAAAATTTGTGAAAATCAGACCAATCTTACAAAAAATACTAAAGGGCATTCTTTGGACAGAGAACCACTAACAACAGACAACAACCTAAGACTAACATACAAAACAGTATCACTTAGACTTAACCCAGATAAGGAAGTATTCGGAGAAAAACAGACCTACAAGACTGAAAATAGAGAAGCAGAGACATAGTTGCAACAACCAAAAAAAGAATAAAGTAAAAAAGGGGGACTAATGTAGTTACAGAACTTCCAAATGAAGAGGAAATCACGTAAATTTCAAGAGAAAAAATAAAAATAAACTTGACTGTTACCCTGAAAACTAGACCAAGCCTTACTCCTAGCCGCAGAACAACCCTTACCTCTAACAGTAATCCTTGTTGTTCAAGGCCATTGAGTTGATTCCGACCCATAGCAACCCGTATAGGATTCCAAGGAGCAGCTGGTAAGCTTGAACCACCGACCTTTCAGTTCAAACAACTGCAGTTTGACACCTTAGCCCACAGTGCCACACCAGTAACCCTAGTCCTTACCATAATGCTTAAGGGGGAAAAAACCCCAGCATGCTAAATCACTTGCCTGATTTTCAGGACCACTTGTTAAGAATGGCAGCTTCCTAAGCCCCTCCTCTGGAATGTCTGATTCCAAGGACTGGATCCACATAGGAAACAGGGTTTCCAACTTTGTCCCTCTGACCATATGGAACCTGAAACCTCGGAACTGAACCTATCTCCACAGGTTCAAATTGATTCAGGATTTAGTATTTGGGGTCCTGGTGTGATGCTGTAGGATAAGCTCTAGATCACAAGGTCAGTTTGAACCACAAGGTCAGCAGTTCAAACTCACCAGCCACTCCTTGAAAACCCTATACAGTCGGAACTGACTCACTTAACAACAACAAAGAAATATCTTTAGTAATTTAGACATTAAAAAGCGAAGAGATCACTTGAGGACCAAGGTGCACCTGACCTAAGACATGGTATTTTCAGCCACCTCATACTCAAGTGAAAGTTGGACAATGAATAAGGAAGACAAAAGAACTGATGCCTCTGGATTATGATGTTGGTGAAGATTATTGAAAATACCATGCCAGAAGAACAAACAAATCTGTCTTGATTTGAATGAAGTACAGTCAGAATTCTCCTTAGAAGCAAGGATGGCAGGACTTGGGTCTCATATATTTTGAACATGTTATCAGAAGGGACCAACCCCTGGAGAAGGATTATCATACTTGGTAAATTAGAGAGTCACAAAAAAAAAAAAAAGGAAGACCCTCAGCGAGAGGGATTGACACCATGGCTGCAATGGGCTCCAATACAGCAGAGATTGTGAGGACGACGTAGGACTGGACAGTGTTTCATTCTGTTGCACACAGACAGGGTTACTATAAGTCAGAATAAATCAATGGTGTCTAAAGACAACAGCAACATAATGAGACAAGGTGTGTGTGTGTGTGTGTCTGAATCCCAACAATGTTTAATTATAAACAGTGATGATTATCTGGGTTTTAAATTCCTTATTTATTTTGTCAAAACAAACGGGGGGCGGGGGACTTTCAAAGAAGTAGCAGAGCATAAGAATGCGCCGCTGAATTCCTGCAATGATGAATGTCAAGGAAGAGGGAAGAAGATGAGAGCTTCGATCTGATCTGTAATGTTTTATTTTTGCCTAGAAGGGTCTCAAGCAAATATGACATAATGTTAAGATTTGGTAATGCTGGTAGAGGAGCCATACAAACATTCTTGTTTATATGATTTAATTATTTCACACTCACAAAAAGCACACTTTCAAAAAGATGTACCTTCAAAAAGATACAATAACATAGACTAGGGGAGTAAATAATGTGAGTGAGGGGAAGTGCAAGGTTTTGTTTAGTACACTCCTTTCTCAGTCGGAGGTACAAGTTTTCCCTCTTAAGTTTATGGGCTTCTCTTTAGCTAAGGATTTCTCTATGTGTTTAGTCAATTGGTCATACAATTTGTGGAGCTCTGGTAGCGTAGTGGTTACGAATTGGGCTGCAAACTGCAAGGTCAGCAGTGCGAAACTACAAGCTATTCCAAGGAAGAAAGATGAGGCGTTCTGCTCCTGTAAAGATTTACAGCCTCAGAAACCCTGTGCAGGGTTGATATAGGTCGGACCCAACTCCAAGGCACGCGGCAGCAGCAGTATCCAGGAAGACCCGGAGTCCTGGTACGGTGCTGTGGGTTAATGTGCCAGACTGCAAAGCCATTTGAACTGCCAGGTCGGCGGTTACAGCTCACCTGTCGCTCCTTGGAAACCCTATACAGGGTCGCTATGTGTCGGAACTGACTCGATGGCACTTAACAACAACAACAACAACATCCAGGAAGACCGTAGAAGAATTGATGCATTTGAGTTATGGTGTTGGAAAAGAATATTGAAAGTGCCATGGGCTGTCAAAAGAACCAATAGATCTGTTTTGGGAGAAGTGTAGCCAGAGTGCTCCTTGGAGGCCAAGATAGCTAAACTTCATCTCTCATACTTCAGACATATTGTCAGGAGGGACCAGTCGCTGGAGAAGGATATCATGTTTGGTAAGTTGGAGGGTCAGAGAAAAAGAGGAAGACCCCTAGCAAGATGGATTGGCAAAGTGGCAGCATCAATGGGCTCAAGCGTGGCAACAATTCTGAGGTTGGCCCGGACCAGGCAG